ATTTGAACGTTCGCCGGGGGCCGAGTCCGACACTGGAGGCCGAGGGGAACGCGAGGGAAAGTCGGGAGCGTTTCCCTGCCCCGGGCTCCGGGTCTTCTCCAAGTGACGCGCTGAGCCGGGACTCACTTCTTTTTTCTTTCCGGATTTGAACCACCGTTTCCGTCGTCTTGCAATCGACACGCGAAGCCCGGAGCGATGGACCCGTTCACGGAGGTGAGGGAACCTGCGGACGCAGCCGACCATGACCCCTCTCGGCCCCCACCGTCCCCGACCCACCTGTCAACCCCTGGGTCCCCCGGGCGGGCAGCGCGTGCGCAGAGCGCGCGGGCGGGGGTCCCGCGGCGACGCCCGCGGGCGCCCTTGATCCTGCGGCTCGTCTGCGGTTTTCCGCACGTGAATCTTCGGGGGCGCGGGGGTGGGGGGAGGTTCGGAGTCCGTCTTAAAAGGCGGCAGTGAGAAACCTCCCTTCGGCCCGGTTATTAGAACGCCCCCCTGGAGCGGGGCCCTGTCCCCCCGAGAGTGCGGCTGGGCCCCACGGGACGGGTCCTGCTGGACGCAAAAGCGTGGGTAACTCGCAGGGTGGAGTCGGGTGCCCGAGTGACTCACTGCTGCGTGTGCAACCGCCGCTTGGAGATGGAATGGAATGTGATTTGAGGGCTTCGTGTAGCCGGCCGAGGAGCCGAGCACTTAAGGATGCTGTTAACGAAATGACATCCACACCTTAGAATAAGCCGGTGTCTGAAACCATTGCTTCCGATCCTATAGCGTCAACAGTTCCTTAAGATTCCATTGCTCAGATGACTGGGACAGAAGTTTCACACCCGAGATTGGCACTAATCGAAAGGAAGCAGTGCTGGCTGCTTATGTACAAACCAAAGTTACTGGCCTGCGATTTAAAAAAAGCTTGAGTAAAGAAGTAATCCTTTTTCCGTGTGTGTTTATGGCGCATAACATTACAGCAATAGTTAATTCGTATTTTGCTCATGGGAAATCGAATATGGAGTAATGACGTAGTTATTGTATCCATCATTTCTCTCACTTTGACTTCTCGTTGAGACCGTGCAGTGACATTTTCTGGACTTTTGGGTTGCCAGTAGTCCGCTCCCCTTTCTTGCAGGCCAGTTCCTCTTTCTTTAGGTTGTGCAAGTTTCAAACTGTTATTTTTTGAGGTTTTGCGAAGCGGACCTAAATATATTTCTACACTAGATTAAAAAACTTAAATGCTACGGAGAGTAGTCATACTTTTTTTTGGGGGGGGGGCGAATATGCTTACAATTTCTTAAGTCTAAGTTAGTAAAAGTTTCAACAATTAAGAGTTTACTTGTATTCAAACACAGCAGTATTTATTTGTTTCAAATTCTCAATCATCTTGGGGGAAAACACATTCATTTGTTCACCTTACTTTTAAAGATTTGGACAGAAAAATCCAGAACACGTTTTTATATTAGCTTTAAAGAATAGAGCTGGTCATGCCCCATATATTTTTCACTTACATTGAAATTTAAAAGGATTTTTATGTTACTTAGATTAGGATTCCTTAAAACATTGGCCCTATGTGTTCTTAATAATCTTTTTATTCTTCTGAATGACAGCATCAAAGTATTTTGAAAAAGTTGGCTGAAAATTGTACTTCACTTTACTTTAAAATGTCATTCTGAGGCTAGTACAAATCTCAATTAAAAGAAACTTTATTGGAAAGACACTTCATTTTAGAGTGTGCTCAGAAATATCTATGGTTTAATATGTATGGATTATATTATGAAAAGTTAGGTCAGTTGCAGTGGGAATAAACAGCTTTGACGTCTTTTCCTTAATTGGTAGTGAGTGAACTATTTGAATTGATTACAACCATTTGGTGCTTAATTATAGCATTCTTAACATTTTTGCACAGTGAAATGAACTGGCGCAGTTCCTTCTCTGAAAAGAACTGAAAGTCAGTTAAAATGACTTTCTCAGCCAGAGATTCTTATCAGAACCATAGAACGCAGGAGACTGAGAAGCAGTTTTCTCAATTTTCCCATGCCATCCAACAAGCAAAGGAGAGATTTTAATTTATTGTCTTAATGTCAGGGCACCAGGGCTTAATTCTCTAGGTGACTCTGGTTGAGAAAGGCGACAACCATCTTAAACTCTTCTCACACAAGGGTGTTCACTGGCTCTCCTCCCTGCTGTCATTGGTGCCGCAGGCATACTGTTTGTCTCCCGCCTCCTCTGCCCGGCAGCCTCTGATGTAAGCTCTTGCTCACAGTTTGAGCTCTCTTCTTCGGAGGGGAGATCACCCTTCTCAGTGCTCAGCTCACTTGATTTACCTCTTGATCGTGTTTCCTGACAGAATGTGGACGTCATGAAGGTAGCACTGTTCCATTCAGAGATGTTGCCCTGACATCAGGCACATCCAGCAACATTCTGCTTCATTAATAGAGAAGAGAACCATTCGGTGCAAAGTATTTTACGGAAAAATAATAATTACACATAACAGTAATTGTTCGAACAATATCACAGTTTTTTTAACTGTAGAAAATTTCAAATGACTGTAAGTATAATAACCGCTCCTGCGTCCATTCCCCAGTAACACAAGGCCATATCGTTTCACTGTATCCCCCACTCTGATCCCTCCCACTGAATTATTTGGAAGCAAATGCTAGAGATCATCTAATTTCATTCATACATACTTCAGTATTTATCACTAAATGCTAAGGATTTAAAAAAAAACCCATAATCTTAATGCCATTATCACATCAAAAAAATGAACAACAGTTTCTGTCGCTGTTCATATTTCTCTCCATGCCTCATGCTTTTGCAGTTTGTTTGAATCGGGATCTGGAGGGGGTCCACAGGGCGATATCTTTCTGAAGTTCTTCATGGACCAACTAGAAATAATGAATCCACCTTGATTCATGGACGAATGAGTAGTTTAGGTAAATGTTTATGATGATCTGATATGAGCTATAGCATTAAAAAAGTTATGTTGATGATGTGAAGTTAGTTCTGTGACAATAAATTCTGAAAAAGAGCATTTAGATTTAGTCAAAAGACAGTATATAGTGAAGTGTTTAAGAGCCCAGGCTTTGGAACCTGGGTTTGAATTCCGACTTGCCACCTCTTAGCCATGAGACCTATGGCTTGTTATTTAAACTGTGCCTGGATTTCTTCAGCTGTAACACAGCAGTGAAAACAACCTACCAAATAAGGTTTTGAAAATGAAATGAGACGCTGAAAGTACTTTATACTAAATCCTATATAAGAGTTAGTGATTGCTGTTGTACTTTTTAGGGGAGTTTAAAGCTGTAAACTTGACTATTCATAACATTGGTGTTAGCCTCTTAGTTTGAAGACCTGCTCACAGGTGATGGTCACCCCCGTTCAAGGCTAGCACAGGGAACCACAGACCAGGTGTGCCAAGTCAGAACTTTCTGTGTAGGAATCTTAGAAGAGGCTACAGTTAAAATATTTTGTAAAGCATCTTTTCTTGCGCTATAAATAAACAAACATGCTGTTACTGTTTGGAATGGAGTTTCTCTTATTTTCCAAAATTAAGTAAAAATCTCTATATTAACCTAGGAAAGAATGACCTTGAGCACGTTGAAAGTAAGTAATTTATATCGAGTGTACTTTGTTTAAGAAGGCAGGGAAATAAGAACACTTTCTAGAGAAATGTCTGTCAGATATGATCGGAGGTGTGTATGGCAGCAATTGCTTGGATAAATGTCAGTTACCTTAGATTCATCCGTGTAGGATATCTTATTTCTCGATTATATTAGTTATTGTTTTTTAATGCCTCTACTATTGGAAGAAGGAGGTGTGATATTTGAAGGATATTTTGTTTGTCTCTTACAAAGAACCCTGAAATTCTTGATGCACTATTATAAGGAAAAATGACTTAAATTTACTGAGCTGTTGAGTTTGTACTTTGCATACATCCTTTCTTTTAAATTAATCTTTGGTGCTTATTAGTTTTATTTTACAGAGTAAGGAACTTTGTCTGCTTATCTACTTTAATTTTTTTGATTTTGCAATTTTTGAATCTAATATAGACAATAGAACCTTTGCATACGTTTGAATGACAAAACCACATTCCTTTGTTGTGACCGTTGCTCATAGTAACTGAAGATACACTGAGTCACAGTGTTCTAACAGACTAGAGTGGAATGTGGGCATGTCCATAAAGGCATGTAACGAGGCCGGAGGCCCGTTTTGCATCTGGGGAGTGACACATTTTATCATAGGGAAGATTGTCAGACACATATGAATTTGTGTAACAATATATCTTTTGAGGTTGTCGAAGACTTTTATTTAAAGGGTGACGGTCCTTCTGATCTCAGAAGCTAAGCAGGGTTGGGCCTGGTTAGTACTTGGATGGGAGACCACCTAGGACGACCAGGTGCTGTAGGCGTTAAAAAAATAAAAATAAAGAGTGAAAGTCTTGTATTTTAGAAGGCATTTGGGTCATAACTTACCTTTTCAGTGACATAACATTTAGATTTAGTGTCACTTCTTTCAATGAGCTTTAAATTAGAAATCATCCCTGAGAAGAGAATTGTGTCTTCTTCCCCATTTAGCTCCTGCTTCTTTTGTATACTCGGAGGAATTTTTAAAAATTGTTATTCTGTTTTAATTAAGGAATTAAAAAGCTGAGAGTTTAATTTCTTGGTCTGCTAAGCACTGTATCTATGTTTGCCCAGCAGTCTGTAATGTCTGCCCAGTAACCTATACCCCTCCTGTAGTTGTGCACATTTGGAAGGAAGTAAATGGTTTTACAGGTCATGTGTTTGTTTTTACCACATCGATTCAAATAGGAGCTTCAGTTCAGGGTAAAAAAAGTATTCGTGACTTAAGAGTTTATGGGATGGCTGAGATTTCAACTTAAAC